TGCTCTTTTTGTAAGCAATGATGGTTTTAAACCCTGAAGATGAAAAAAGCCACCCCTGCATTAATTAGGACCACAAAAATATTATGGTAGGGAATGAATATACACAGAAATTTTTTTCTAAAACCTATAAGTGTTGGTCCTTCAGCAGCCTCCTTAAGAGCTATTTGTTGTTCAGTGCTGAAGCAGGCTCACCATGATTCAATCAACACTGATTTAACAAGTGATAAGAGAAGATTGCCCAAGGCCTCCTGACCCATTTCCTTATCTTGTTCCTGTAGTGTTGGATTTTGTTCCAAAGGCCAAAGCCTCAGCAAACACCATTCTTTTTTTTTTTCTGATATGCTATAAAAATACGATGAGATAAAAAGGGGATTTGTTTCATGCCTGGTTTGGGCACACAAGGGATTTTTGAACTCTCTGGGAAGTCTCAAATGGGGAAACTTTCCTGGCTGCATTCAGCATCATATATAAAAACAAATTATAATTGAACCACAGAATGGTTTGGGTCGGAATGACCTTAAAAGTTCATCCCATTCCACCCCCTGCCATTGCCAGGGACACCTTCCACTATCCCAGGTTTCTCCAAGCCCCATCCAACCTGGCCTTGGACACTTCCAGGGAAGCCACAGCTTCTCTGGGCACCCTGTGCCAAGGCCTCACCACCCTCACAGGGAACAATTCCTTCCCAATATCCCATCATACCCATTGCCCCTTGTCCAGTCCCTCCATCCCTTGTCCCAAGTCCCTCTCCAGCTCTCCTGGAGCCCCTTTAGGCCCTGGAAGGGGCTCTGAGCTCTCCCTGGATCCTTCTCTTCTCCAGGTGAGCACCCCCAGCTCTCCCAGCCAGGCTTGAGAGCTCCAGCCTCTGGAGCATTTTATCTCAAAAATGATCATATTATCTCAAAAACTGACATGTTCTCAGTCCAGACTAACAGCAATAGGGGAAGCAACTTTGACACTTCCTCAAAAAGGGCAGAAAGTCAGCACTCTGTGCAAAATTTTAGTTCATACTTTCATTTCTTGAAAAAGACACCAAATCTTTGCAGGGAAAACAGGTGGCTGGTCCCTCAGCCCACAGAGGACACCAGCAGAGCCTGAAGGATGGGCTCCCTGGTGACTCAGAGCAAGGCAAAATAAAAGGTGTTTTATGGGACTGCACAGGTTTAAAATCGCTATTTTGTGACTTCTGGGTGAAAAGCTAGCTGGAAATAAGGAGGTGTGGGGAATTCAGAGGGAACTGACCGAGTTACTGGAATAAATCAGAGTTCAGTGATGTCCTGACTGCAGCTCCACACAACTGGAGGCACTGAGGCTTTTGGAGCCAGATTGTACAAAGGGCAGGACAAAATCCAGGTTATTTCTCCTGTATTTTATGCCAATAAAACCTTGCAGACAATGTGGAAAACTGAAATCAACCTTCAAAGGAGAGAGAAGAAATCCTGTGGAGTCAGAGGGAAGTCAGGCAAATTACAACTGATTTTTAAAAAAAATATTTTAATTGTTAAGGCACAAATAAAAACATAGTGAAGGGGTGGTTAAATATTACATGCAAAGGCATGCAATGGTCCAAGGGCCATTGCACACAGAGCATCGAAGAATAAAAACATTTAAACACATCAAAAACATCTCCCATTTTACTGCCTAAATGCTGGGTTGTACAGTCAATTGTATTAAATGTTATTCTGATTTTTCTCATCACTTCACTAGGAAATCTTCACAAACCAAAATCAACCTTTAAAATGTGAGTGTGACAAAAAATTGATTGATATAAATGGAAACAGGGGGAAAAAGGAATATGCTCACTGTTTTTTGATCACTGATTAATTATTTTTTTGATCCAGGCCACATGGTCTTTTCATTTCTGAGAATGGTGGGGAGTATAGTTTTTACCTCCTCACAAAAAAGAAGGATAAAAAAATAATAAAAAAATATAGTTTTTCTCATTAAAGAGAAGGTTTAGTGTAATTGTGGTTTAGTACAGGGCTTGAAACTGGTTCCTGAGATTATTTTTCTGTTGTTCATACTCCTGAAGATTGGCCAAAATGAGGGAAAAAGTGTCAGTCAGCACAGTAACACAGTGAAATATTTCTGTATTTCCAGATGAAAACTTCAAGAGATGCTGACAGGACAGCATGGAGACGGGATAGTGGTGGGGTGCAAGGAGGTTGGAGTAGGAAAATTAGATGGGAGAGAGGCAGGCTGGAAGAGGGAAGCAGGAGGATCACAGAACCCCAGAATGGTTTGGGGGGGAAGGGACCTTAAAGCTCATCCTATTCCACCCCCTGCCATGGGCAGGGACACCTTCCACTATCCCAGGCTGCTCCAAGCCCTGTCCAACCTGGCCTTGGACACTTCCAGGGATCCAGGGGCAGCCACAGCTTCTCTGGGCAACCTGTGTGATGCAGGTGGAGTTGAAAAGGGATGCGTGTGGGATGCAGAAGGGTTTAGGAAGGATACAGGCAGGCTGGAGGAGGAAAAGTAGATGGGAGAGAGGCCAGCTGGAGGAGAGAAATGGGAAGGAAAAGGTATAGAGGCAGGATGGAGACAGGATAGCAAAGGGTGGGATACAGGAAAAATCCAGACAGGTTGCTGGAGGAAAACTAGATGGGATGGAGATGGGATGGAGGAAGAAAGCAGGAAGGATATGGATGGGATTAAACCAGGATAAAGGTGGGATGCAGGTGGGATTGAGGAGGAATCAGGCAGCTTGGAAGGTGAAAAGGAAATGGGATGGAGTGCAGAAAAAAGGGAGAAAGGCAGGAGGGAAGATGCAGGACGGGATGGCAGGGGCAGAACATCTTTGGGATCGAGGAAGGTCAGAGACAGGCTGGAGGAGGGATACAGGTGGGCTGGAGGTGGAATTGAGGAAGGAAGGATGCAGGAAGGATGGAGGTATGAAAAGCAGGTGGGACGGAGGGATGGAAGCAGAGCAGGGGTGCAGGCAGGATTGATGGAAGCCTGCAGGGACAGGGATGGAGGCAGAAGGGAAGCAGGCAGGAGGAAAGAAGGAAGCAGTGAGGAGCAGGGATGGAGCCGGGAGCAGGGATGGAGGAAGGAGGGAAGCAG